ATTCCCATTATTGCTATTCATAAGTTCATAACCGGCTACCAAGCGAGTTGTTAAGGGGACTATGTCCTTTATAATCATTCTGTATCGTTGTGTGTGTCTATTTGTACTGAAATTATTTTAAAATATATTTTTAGATTGGTCGATTAGTAATACATTATATATGTAATGAGCATTTGCTACTTTCTTTTCAGATGTAGATCTTGTAGTTCACACCGCAGGGCCTTTCCAGCAGTCAGAAAAATGTCCTGTACTTGAAGCTGCTATTCGTACCAAGGTGAGATGAGGTAATTATCTAAGCATTTTTTTAGATGGTTATGTTGATGGATTATTGCTTTTGGTTTTCATTCTCATTGTGTGTGTTTAAGAGTCAATACTAGTTTTGGCTTTTGGTTATTTTTTTATGTTTTCTTTACACTTACGCAATCTTCTTACAGACAGCATATATTGACGTATGTGATGATACAAGTTATGCATTTCGTGCCAAATCATTTTGCAAAGATGCAATTGCTGCTAATGTTCCAGCTATCACAAGTGCCGGGATTTACCCTGGAGTGAGCAATGGTTCTTATATTTGAACAATTTTACAATTCATTTTGCTCCCTATTTATCCGTATTCTTAACATTGCAAGAAATTATTCACGACATTTTAGAGTCTAATTTACCTTGTGTTATGGGGATTTCGTTACATATAATTAACTAAATCTTACGAGCCTAAGTGTTGCCAATGAGTTTTCTTTCTATTGTTTATATTTTGTTTGATTGACTGCTAACACTCATTAATTATTTTTTTTCCATCTGGAATTTTGATCACAGTGATGGCTGCAGAACTTGTTCGTGCGGCAAGAGAGGAAGGCAAGGGCGAACCTGAAAGGCTAAGGTGATCATTTCTGTTCTTGAGGTCTTGATGTTGTGTTTTGTGATCAACCTTAAATACATTTGATGGCTTAGATTTTTGATGTAAAATTTCATGTAACTCTTGTCATATCTCTTGCATGGTATGTGTTCCATACTCTTTTTATATGATTATGTTAGTTTGCATGCCTTTATGCAAGAAGTCTAATGTGAGTTCACTGGGTATTTTTTTGTTTCATGTTATCTTCAGATTCTCTTACTATACAGCGGGTACTGGAGGTGCTGGTCCAACAATATTGTCTACAAGTTTTTTACTGTTAGGAGAAGAGGTTGTTGCCTACAACAAAGGTTTTCTTTCTTCCATTTTGTTACATCACGTTGTTATACGTGTTCACTAGCAATCATATACTTTTTCATCTCCTGATGTCTTGTTGGGAATACAGGTGAAAAGGTCAAACTAAAGCCTTATAGTGGGATGCTAAATGTTGATTTTGGAAAAGGGATCAATAAGAGGGATGTATTTTTGCTGTAAGTTACTATTCTTACTTATGTGAATTTTTTTTTTCGCTACTGCTTCCTGTCAAGAATTATTTTGAGACTAAGGCTTAGTTCTTGCTAGATCTCTTCATTGATTGTTGTGAATTTCATTCAATTGTTTTTGGCCACCTGGATATGAGATGTGTGCTGGGTTGTTTTTGAACCTTTGATCTATGTGTTTGGTGATAAAACATTTTCATTTTCTAAATATTTTATAGGCCTGGAAATGCTATAGCGCCTTCAAATAATCTGTCTCCAGGTCCAAAACTTAGTAGATGCTGGGTCATGCAGCTACAATTCTTGAGTGTATTTAATTGTGCTTCCTTATTAATTAACTGAATTGAACTCCGTGCTTACCCTCATGAGTGCAATACACCGGTTTGCATCCGTGCTGGCTTAGGGGTGAATCCTCCTTTCCCTTTTTGTGACTAAAACATCTGTTCAGTGGCTTTATCAAACTTTTGCTTGCTTTGTGCTGCCATCCATGATCCTAGTGTATAACATTTATCTACGTCTCACTGGAGAATGTCCCTCAAATTTATAAGAAATAGTATATTTTCTCCAGGAATCTGCCAGAAGTAAGAAGTACTCATGAAGTTCTGGGAGTACCAACTGTCAGTGCTAGATTCGGAACTGCACCCTTCTTTTGGAACTGGGGAATGGCCATAATGACAAATCTTTTACCACCGGTATAATTTATTCTCTTCTGGTTTTATTGCTAGTTTTGGCTGCTGTAGAAAATGGCTCTATTGTTGGGCTAGTGGACAAGCTGTCTGAATAACAGCAATTATAAATTGTCTTACAGAGAGAGACCCATAGAAACTGACCTTATTTAGTATCTACCAGATAATTCAGTTGAAAGCATAAAGGGTTCATTGCTTGATAGATTTATTTAATTTAATTTTTTGGGTATAAATTATGAAGGCCATTGATACTGAACACCCAGCATGTAGGTATTGACCATTAAAAGGAAAAAAAAAAACTGTGCATGTAGGTTGCTGCAGTTGGTTAACCAGACACCATATTATACAACCAAGAGCTCATATGACTGGATTATGCAGGATTTTCTAAGGGACAGGACAAAGGTTCAACAGTTGGTTGAGTTGTTTGACCCTGTAGTTCGTGCAGTTGATGGTATTGCAGGGGAGCGTGTGTCAATGAGGGTAAGGTGCTATAAACTGATTAGTGTTATACAAATTATTCCTAGTATCACTTCTAAAGTTCTAAGTTCTAACGAGTCTCCCAGAGTAAAGATAGTACAACTGAAGCAGTGCTTTGATTAATTTGTTACAATCCCCTTGTAATTTTGGTCATCTATACTGCTTTTCCCCAGGTTAGGTAAGTGGCTATTTACGAATTAATTTTTTATATCTATTTAACAGGTTGATTTGGATTGTTCAAATGGGCGCAATACAATCGGTGTGTTTACTCATAAGAGTTTGTCAGTGTAAGTATCAAGTTTATAGTTTTAGCCCAGCTCTTACTATCTTATGATTCTGACCTGCTGGTTGTGTTATCGCTCGCTGCACTTTATGAACTTTTAAAAGACACCATATTCCCAGAATCAGCATTGCTTGGATCTTTTGATTTTTAACAACAGACCTTTCAGAATATTTAATGGACTTTTGCAGTGTCTATCTCTGGTGAAATGCTTTCTAATAAAGGTGTAGGATACTTTGACATAGATAAATATGCTGTTAAAGAAAATAGAACTATATACTGGGAGTGGTTATATATTCTGAGACGCAATCCATGTAAGAAGGTAGGACCCTACTTTTGGTATGATGGTCTTAGTATTGATGCAGTACTACCTGGTGATGAATTTAGTTGAGGACTTTTGCCATGTCTCTACCAGGAAACTTCTAGCCATCATCTTTTGCTGTTGCTTTGGGATCCTTTTCACCTAATACTTGCAATATTGTATAGCTGGCTTAAGAGTGCAAATGTTAAGGAACTTTTCCTAAAATTTTCGCTTCACCGTTAGTGTCTTGTTCACAGATCGGTTGGACTATCTACTGCTGCATTTGTCCTTGCAGTCTTAGAGGGTAGTACGCAGCCTGGGGTATGGTTTCCGGAAGAGGTACATACTTTAAGATCCTCTATTGTCAAATACCTGAGAACTTCAATCGTACTCTTTCATGCCCTCCCCCCCCCCCCTCCCCTCCAATTATTCCTGTTAAGCTTGCTGTTATCGAACAAAAATGTTTTTTTTTTTTATTTTATTTTCACTTTATTTTTTAATTTTTAAATATAGCCTGAAGGAATTGCAGTAGAGGCCAGGAATGTTTTATTGGAGCGTGCTGCCCAAGGAACGATCAACTTTGTGATGAACAAGTACAATTTTTTTTATCAAGCTAGCACTAATCTAATTGTTCTGTTTTTGTTCTTGATCTTCGGCAAATTCATGGTCCTCATTTTGTGTTATTTGACAGGCCTCCTTGGATGGTGGAGACAAACCCAAAAGAGCTTGGCTTAGGCATATATGTCTGAGATATGCTGCACTGAATTTGAGTGACAGGTTTCAGCTGATAGTTATATACCACCATACAACAATGAAGTGACAGTTCTAACTTTGCTGTTTCTGTGTAAGAGGTCGATGACAAAGCTTAGCATGCAAACAACGGTTTGAATCATGATTCAGGAGTTACCTTCAAATGTCTGCAAGATGGACAACAATCAAGCATCTATAATGTGTGGCTTAATCAACTCGCAAATGAATGGTAACGAAAGATGAAGTGCCTCTACTATACCATCTTACATCAACTTCCGTCTTATGATTTGGAGAAAGTCTGGAGAAATATGTAAATGATTCAGGTGACAATATATAATTTTGAAATTGAATTTGTAAATGATTGCTTAGAAGGTATACCCGTCAAGGAATGATCTCAACTTAAATAAACCATGTTTATGAGATGTGGAGTTACTTTTACAGTTTTACCATTTGTAATCCATAAACTCATATGAAGTACAGTACGAGTATACTTTCTTCTTTTTGACTATTTTTTGTTTTTTTTTGACGGGAAAATAATATCATTAATAAATAGCTATACGGCATCTACGTGTACCATGTTAAAGTACCATTTTAATCAAAAGCTTAAACTGATGGCTGAAACCCAGAAATATGTTTTATACTCTATCATATTCGGTAGTAACTTTTCCTATACACTCTACTACTTCTCTCTTAATAAAACGTTCCTAAAAGAAAGACTAGATATATTTGATTGTCTGAAGCCTAGCCTGATTTTAAATCGTTTATAATGCTACCACGAGCACATGCCTACATTGGCTACATTTAGTCGTTCTTTACTTCTTTAGCCCATTTATGGATTATGGAGTACCAGTTATCATAGATTATCAAACCTATTATTCCCTCATACTAAAGAACTATCAATCCCACCTAATGTTGAATGATTTTAAATGTGATTTGCACTTGGATGATGAAGATGACCACGTACATAAATTTTCCCACCAGAAAATACAAGTTTATCTTCATCGATAAACAATAAAACGTTTACAAAGTATATATAGAGACATTTCTGTAAATAAATAATTTAACAATATGAGCAACACGCAAATGGAATGTAATTTTTTTTTTTTTTTTTTTTTGGGTATTTAGAAAGTCACTAGGATAGGTGATGAAAATCGAATTCTAACCACCTATGCTATCCGTCAGTGCAAAAATTATTAGCACCAGGCAAATGATTATTACTGTGCATGGACACATAACAAAATTTGGTACGGCAGTAAAGGTTGAGCCATTAGATCCAACGTACAATTTTGGAAATTTAAATCACTGAAAGTATGTCCATCACATTTCACACATGCATCCAATTATACGAGTAGAATAATATATTACCATGTCCACAAATTTTTATATGTAGTTGGTTATACGGTGTGGCTAGTTATTATAGGAGTTATTTTGTTAGTGTTAAAGGGGTTACTTCGTCATTGTTATAGGGTTACTCGGTTAGTGTTACAGGGTTACTCAGTTAGTACTACAGGGATTATTTGGTCAGTGTTAGAGATATTACTCGGTTAGTATTACAGAGGTTACTTGGTCAATAATATAAGATTTTACTTTATTTTTTTATAAGTGGCCACACGGTGTGGTCAGCCACACACAAGACGGGCTGTACCATGTTACGTTAATTTTGCCCAAATGATTGGAACCATATATTTAAACAAATGTATAGAGTACATAATACATGAATACATGGTCTATCATTTTCTATTCTTGAGAGGAGAGAAAAATCATGGCGGGATATCCTTTACTCCTTAACTTAAAAACCTCAATGCCGCCATTAACGGTGGTTGCGAGCTCTGTTAAGGAGAGAGAATGTACTGGTAGTGATAAAGTTCGGAATTCTAGGGTGTTGGTTTTGGGTGGTACTGGTATTGTTGGTGGTTCTACCGCCCTTGCTCTTTCTAAGCTATCTCCTGAACTTCGTATTGTTGTTGGTGGTCGAAATCGGTATTTGTTTTTTTTTTTTTATTTATTATTTTTTTTATATTATAAAAAATTAAGTTAAGGTGAGATATGAGAACATTTATCGCAAAAGGTCAAATGATGCATTTATTTTAAAATTGATTTAGAATGTTTGATTTGATTGTGAAGGGAGAAAGGAGCAGCAATGGTGAGAAATCTTGGGGTGGAGTATGTTGAGGTTGATATAAATCATGCAGAAATATTAGAGGATGCTTTACAAGGTGATTATTTAATTATTTTTTTGACACTTCTTTGAAAATGAAATGTTAGTTTTTAGAATGGAAGAAATGTGGTAAACAAAAAAATATTTTGCATTATTAATGTAATTCAACCTTAGCCAAGTATATGAGTCCACTATAGTAAACTGATGCATGAACTCCAAAAGTTGCAACAGTTCACCTTTATTCTCCGATCTAAACTTATTTTTTTTATCTAATGTATGGTATGGTCCGAACTTGTATGGTCCAGACTTATATATTTTAATCTGATATGGTCTTTATACTTGGAAACTTGATTTGAACTTTTTTATTTTTTTGATCTGAACTTTTTTTTTTTTTTTTTCCCTTCTAATATGATCTGATCTAATATCTTGCTTTTGATTTGATCATATGATATGTATTTCTTAGAATTAAGTGTACAAATAAGAATTACGATTCTTAATTATTTGATAGGAAAGTTAAATATAAGGTACATAAGGTACATGACACATACTTAATATGAACATTATTAACTGTTACAGTATTTGTTTTCAGATGTAGATCTTGTAGTTCACACTGCAGGGCCTTTCCAGCAGACAGAAAAATGCTCAGTACTCGAAGCTGCTATTCGTACCAAGGTGAGATAAAGTCATTATCTAAGCGCGTACTTAGATGATTTTGTTGATGGATGATTGCTTGTGATTTTTATTATGTATGTATGTATGTACATTATTGTGTTTAAGAGTCAATACTAGTTTTCGCTTTTGGGACATTATGTGTGTTTTCTTAACTCATACTTTTGTGATCTTCTTATATACAGACAGCATATATTGATGTTTGTGATGATACAAATTATGCATCTCGTGCCAAATCGTTTTGTGAAGATGCAATTGTTGCTAATGTTCCAGCTATCACAACTGCTGGGATTTGCCCTGGAGTTAGCAATGGTATTTTTTCTCATTATCCTTTCCATTTTCTTCGTGTTGACATGATACTGATTATGACATCCTAGAGTCGAGTTCATGCTGTGCTGCTGGGAAATTTTTGTTATGTATATATATGCTTGGGATATGAAAATTCTAAGCATGCCAAACAGTCTGCTTCGTAGTATATATATTTTGTTTAATTGTTGCCATTCTGGCCTTATTTAATTTTCGTTCCATTGGAATTATGATGACAGTGATGGCTGCAGAACTTGTTCGTGCTGCAAGAGATGAAGGCAGGGGTGAACCTGAAAAGCTCAGGTGACCATTTCTGTTCTTAAAGTTTCGTTAGTTGTTTTGTTTTTATTAACCTGTGATCACCCTTCAAAGTTTGTGCTGCTCAGATTCTCTTACTACACAGCAGGTGCTGGAGGTGCTGGTCCAACAGTGTTGTCGACAAGCTTTTTACTTCTCGGAGAAGAGGTTATTGCCTACAACAAAGGTTACTTGTTCCTATTTTATTACCCTATTTTGTTATACTTGGTTACTAGCATTCTTCAACGGTTTCATCCTATGAAGTCTTGTTGTAAAACCAGGTGAAAAGGTCAAACTAAAGCCTTATAGTGGGGTGCTTAATGTTGATTTTGGAAAAGGGATCAACAAGAGGGATGTTTATTTGCTGTAAGTTTAATATTTTTGTTCACTTCTGATTTCTGTCAAGAATTATACCTTTCAATCAACTGCTATTCGCCATCTTAATATGTTCCTTTTATGTTCGTTGTAATCCATGATCCTAATGTATAGCATCAATTACTTTTCACTAGAAGATGTTACTCAATTTGACAAGGAATAGTGATTTTTCTCCAGACATCTGCCAGAAGTAAGAAGTGCTCATGAAGTGCTGGGGGTACCGACTGTCTGTGCTAGATTAGGGACTGCACCCTTCTTTTGGTACTGGGGAATGTCCATAATGACAGATCTTCTACCACCGGTATAATTTAGGTTGCTGCAATTGGTTAACCCGGAAGTCATACTTTGTATTATTCGATACATAGCCATGAGCTTGTGTCACTGGATTATGCAGGATTATCTAAGGGACAGAACAAAGATTGAGAAATTGGTTGAGTTGTGTAACCCTACAGTTCGTGCAGTTGATGGTGTTGTAGGGGAGCATATCTCAATGAGGGTAAGGTGCTATAAACCGATAATTCTTCTAATAATTCTCCTGGAGTAAAGATAGTACAACTGAAGCAATGCTTTGATAAATCTGTTGCAGTCCCTTTGTATCAATAATCAGTAAGTGGTTGTTTACAAATGATTTTTGTCATTCTTTCTATCTGACAGGTTGATTTGGAATGTTCGAAAGGGCACAGTACAGTCGGCGTATTTACTCATGAGAGCTTGTCAGTGTAAGCATCATATCAGGCTTATAGATAGTCTCTTCTCTTCTTGTCAAAAAAGACTTATAGATAGTCCTAATACTTAAACATATTGTAATATAGATTACAAATGTGAAGCTTGATCATGTTTAAGGCTGTATGTACTTAATTGTTCACAGGTCGGTTGGAAAATCTGTTGCTGCATTTGTCCTAGCAGTGTTAGAGGGTAATACGCAGCCTGGCGTATGGTTTCCAGAAGAGGTACATGCTTAAGAATCCTTTATTGTCATGGACTTGAAGACTTTCATCGTACATTTTTCATGCCTTCTTTCGGGGTTTGTTGGGAGCCCCTTTCTCCTCCCTCCTGATTTTTCCCATTAAACTTGCTGCTATTAAACAAAAATGTTCTGTATATAGCCTGAAGGAATTGCAGTAGAGGCAAGGAATGTTTTATTGGAGCGCGCTGCCCAAGGAACAATCAATTTTATGATGAACAAGTACAGATTTTAATGAACTGACTTTAATTTAGTTGCTTGACTTTGGTCCTTGATCTTAGGCAGATTTCATGATGTTCTTTTGCATGATTCATTCAACAGGCCTCCTTGCATGGTGGAGAGACAAACCCAAGTACCCAACAAACCCTGGCTTAGGCATTTACGTTCGAGGACTGTTGAACTGAACTGTAATGACTGATTTGAGCGATTAATACAAGAATAAAGTGCCGCTGCCATAAATACTTTCTCCGTCTTATTTTTTTCTTTAAATTGGTACGGAAAAGGTGTTTAAATGGAATGAACACCTTAGCTTAGATTTTGAACTTAAACTTTCATTGCCAATTATATAAAATCATCTATTAGTAATTGATTGCTTTGGCAAATGACAACGGACAATTACATTAATATTTGACAAAACTAGTATAATTATCCAAATAGAAAGAGTCTTTGGCCGCTGAAACAAGGAGAAGCCAAGTGATGGCCAAAGGTTATGGCTAAACTAAAGGTCCTAAAGGTCAATTCACATGGGCCCATTGCATATGGCACTATATAGGTGATTGACAACTACATTTGCAAATAATCCTACTAATCAATCATATTGCTCCATAAACAGCAAATTGGAGAGCCTCTCAAAAGAAGCATATATCCTTGCTTTTGGTCAATTGACCAAATTGGTAATAAAAAAAGACTTCTAGCAACAAACTGGTAAAAAAAATTGCTCTAGCGACAAATTGGTAAAAAAAACCTAATCTCAAGCGATAATTTGGTAAAAATATAATCTCAGGCAACAATTAAGTCTAAAAATACAAAATTTCCAACAAACTACTTGCGATTGCTATCGTTTTTGTGGTTTTTTTTTTAAGCAAAAATATTTTTCCACCTAAATTTCCAAGCCTTAATAAAAAAAAATTAAGAAAAAAAAGGTTTAAATACTTATTTTCACTTAATTTTCCTACCCATTATTAACAATTTTTTTTTTTTTTTAAAAAGGGTTGGAAATAAATTTATGTAATTCAAAATTTAGCAAAATAAAAAGGAGATATAATAATTTAAATTTTAAATGAAAAAAAAATAAATTTAAAAAAACACAATACAATGTAATTAGGATTTTTGAAGAGTTTGTCGGAAAAACAGATTTTTTTGGTCTAAATGTCGCCTGAGTTTATTTATTTATTTATTTTACCAAATTGTAGCATAATGTTAACTTTTTTTTTACCAAATTTATGCTATAGTGATATTTTTTTACCAAGTTGTCGTGAAGGGTTTTTATTTTTTTTTACCAATTTGGTCAATTGACCCCTTGCTTTCCTCTTATTTTCATTTGTTTGAAAATTCATCTTCACGAAAGTTTATAGAAAAATCTATACAACCATATGTCTCATCTCGAAAACTTTTTACCTTAATGGCTTATCAATATACATAAAATAGTTACGTTAATTAAAATTACGGTGATGAGATGGTAAAATTTACTCATACTTCATACAAACATAATAAATTGGCATTGAATGAACCTTATATGTCATGTGTATGCACTCTCGACCTTCTTATTCCCCTTTTTTTTTCAACATATCAACTTCAAATTTGTATTTGGTGAAATACAAATACGCATTGATGTTGTGGATTAACTATTTCATCTAAAAAGTTTTATTAAAGACTACTTTTGCTTAATTAAAAGGCAAATGAAATATGGCAAATAGTCTAATTTAATATGGAAAGATGTACATACTTAAAATATTTTGTACTCGTACATGATTTTATGCAAATTAGATAGATAGGCACCTTTCGATTTCATCACAGTTGGTTAATAATTGGTGTTAGTTGTCCTAACACATTTACTTTTGTATAGTATTTGACACATACAACTATCCATGTCTTTTCAAATTTCTTTCCAAAAACAAAGGAGTAAAACAAGCTAGTACTCACAAATCATAAGTCATAAAAGAAGAAGAAAATCTTGCACTGTGAAAAAGTGTTGCTCTACTCCATAATAAAACGATTTGATTTATAAACATCTTATCCAAACATTAATTGTATGTCCCCTTATGTGGCAAAATACATTAGTACTTCAACTATCCAAAAATGATCACTACATTGACTCATGATTCCAACATTTAAAATTTAACTTCATCTGAAGTTGGAAGGGGCGAAGGTTAAGACTTTCAACATCGTGTTTAAAACATGAATATATAGTAAATCTATTATTGGATGGTTTCCATCAACGATAGAAATAAAGGTCCAACGAAATGAGTTTAATATAAAGTTATGAGACTGACAATCGCTAAAGGCCTAAAGCGTGATATACAATTGTATAATATCAAAAGGTATCTACTTATATAGATTGTAAAGAAATATTAAATACGATAACACTTCAAACTTGAGAAAAACAAACTTCTCTAATTCATCTATTATAGCTTATTTACAAGTTCTACAAACTTAATATTCCATAAGTAAATATGTTTGCACCATCATGTTTCTAAATATATTCATCTTATTCGCAGGTACAAAGCTTTCATTACTCTTCGAGATTGGGAGATTGCTATAACTCATTGTTACAGAGAGTCCAATCGTGCGGCGGATTGGCTCGCGAACTATGGGGTAATTGCGAATCAAGCATTAGTTCTCTTTGAAGAGGTCTCTCGGGATCTTAATGCCGTTTTATTGGAGGACTTGAGTGGAGTAGCTTGGGCGAGGATGGTTCCGAAATAAGTTAGCTTCGTAAGGTTGTAATAAGCCACTGTGTGGCAGTAGTTGTTTTCTTTACTGAACATGATCGATGTAAGGATTATAATTGATAATCGGAATAGTAGTTGAAAATCAAAAGAAAAGAGACAATCGAGAACCGAAAAGAAAAGGAGAAAAAAAAAGAAAAGAAAGGGAAAGAAGTGATCACATGAAGTTTGCACTTTTGCTGACCCAGATCAAGAGACGTAGTTATCAATCTTCACACCCTAAAACAACATAAAAACAAATGTCGTGCCTCACCCTAATCTAAAAACAAGAACCCTTTATTTTTCTGATTTTCTCCTTAATTATTTCCTTCACACCAAAGCATAAATAACGGTTGACATCTCTTTGAGGCATTTCGTCGAACATAAAGCATGCATCTTGATACAGGGGGATGAATATTGATATTCACAGGCTTGTTGATTTGATGAAGCCTTTCTTGACATGTCGTCGGTGTTGCTAGACTCCGACGCATCATTTTTCGATACTTCCAATTCTAACAAAGGTCAGATTTTTAGTACTTTGCCTATTTCTTTGTTGGGGTATTCTGGGTTCGTTTCAAACGATCAAATTGCTTCATCATTCAACATGAATCCATATGGGCAATCTGGGTTTGTGAACTCTAGTCAAATGAATGCGAAATTTGAGTTTAGTTCACCGTCAACTTCGAATTTGGGTTCTGAAAAGCCCCCATTTAGCTCAATTCCTAATCTTTCAAGGCCAAGATTGGTGAAGTCTAGGAAATCTCAGAATCCCAGGTCAATGGGCAGCTCAGAAACCCGGAAAATCGATCCGGGTTTTAATCCGTTTCGCCCCGTTTCGGATAATCTAGCAGGGGTTTCATCTAGGCTGGAGGGTAAGGATGATGATGAAGTATATATGAATAGTAATAGTAGTAAAAATTTGAATTTGAAGGTTACAAGTAAAGTTGAGAAAGTAGGGGATGCACTGATTGATGAAATTAGGAAATTGAGAATTGAAAATCAAAATATTGGTAGACAAAGTGGCAATAATGTGTATGAAAGTGGAAGTTCGAGCTCGATTGGTGTTCAGCATCCTAGCAATTTGGCATCTGAGCTTCCTGATAAGATACATAATTTGAACTTGGGAGGTTTAGGTACCGGGAGCTCCAGAGGTTCCGGTGTTGGTGGAAGTCATGGTGTTCATAATGTGAGTAGTTCAATTGGTACTTCATTGGCATCTGAACTTCCTAATGACTTGGAGAGGTTGAATCTCAAAGATACTGGTGAAATTGGTAGCCATAATTTTGGTTTTGGTGATTCTGATAGTAGTAAATTTGTGTTTGGGGGCAATAGGACAATGGAAGATTCTAATGACCCTAGCATAGCGAGCGCACTTCCTAACAGGATTAAGAACTTGAACATAGCTGATCCTGACAAAAATAGTGGTACTAAGAAAGAAATGAATAGCAACATGAACAATTCGACATTTGGCTCTGTGGATGCTAGTAGAACTGAATCTGGTGAAGAGGTGGATACGATGATTTTGGATGAGATGGTGAAGTTGAAAATTCTAGGTGATACAAAGGAATCTAGTGATCATGCCAATGCAACTGACAGTTCATTTCCAAGGACTGAACCACTTGGAAGCATAAGCAGGGAAGATAGTAAAATATTATATCCCACGGAGTTCCTAAACCCAATCAAGGAACAAAAAGAGCATTCAGTTGGTCCTCAAGTAGCTGAATACCACTCGAATAAAGGCTCTGGATTTCGTGATGCATCCGCATCATCAACATCATCTCTCTCATCTGCCGGCCTACACTTTCAGCCGGCAAGGCACGAATTTGAAGTGCCTTGTACTGATGGTACTGTGAAGAAGGAAGGTTTCGCTTTTGGTTACAACCAGGAAAGTTCAAGGATTCCCTATGTTGAATTTAGAACACCTGATTCGAAAGTGCAAACTGGATACAGCAACAAGGGACTAGTTAGAGATTCTAAATCCAAGGGGAGGAAGGCAAAAGTAAAGGAAACTAAATCAGTCCTGATGTCGTTTGGGAATAATTTTACATCACAGGAGAACAACTTCCAAAATGAACCTTCTGAGTCTTATTCACCAATGGATGTTTCTCCTTATCGCGAAACTAGGGATGATGAGCAATCAAGTAAAGAGCCTTCATTGACACCTGAGAACTGGGCATCACTTGAATCACAGGCACAGCTTTCTAATGATGCGACAGATGAGGATCTGATTAGAGCTATAGAAAACATGGACATTAATGAAAACAATGATATGAAGCAGGGTGAAGCAGAAGAGCAAGTTTCAGAGTGCACTGGCAATACATATACATGTGCAGCTATGGCAAGCTCTCCAGTGGATTGTGTATCTGCAGCTGAAAGTGAAAGTTTTATGTCTGCATCCGAAAATTTGGATGAAAATGGTGAAAATGAAGTTGAATCAAATAATGTGGAACAAAATTGTGATCAAACTCGATATTTCTCCACTGAAAGTTCTGCAAGCCGTGGAGAATCTTCTTTCACTTTTGCTGCTTCCTC